AGAGTAATGGGGACAGACCTTGGCTTGACCCCAGCGATGATGGTTGATCAATATATTGAAGTCCATGGCAGAATTTACAATTCTTTGTAGGCTAGACCGATAAATTAATAGACTTTGTTGTTACCGGCAGACCAGGCCAGCTCACCGAATGCTTATTTGTTTCTTGCGCTTACTGATTATCTTCAAGTCAACGTACGCTGAGTATAGCAGCTGGGAACCAGTGAATATGCCTAACTCCGTACACCTGCAACCCATTGTCCATCCTTGGATCCCTGAGTCGTACACAAACAAACATATGTACAGATAATCAACATAAGGATATACATCGAAGCCAAAAACACAGACCACAACGCGGGTATCCATATCCATATCTACATCCGTTTCTCTACTTCATGGTCGATTATCGTGCCGCCCGGACAAGATGGGTATCGTGAAATGCCAAGAGCGATGGAATGTGCGATACAGAGGCAGGAACAGAAACAGAAACAGGGACAGAGACACGGTMCGATTCCTCTGGCTCTGGATCTGCGGCCGTAAGCAGGTCCCATCGACTCTGGCTTTGATCGCGCCAGGAGGGCGTGGGCCCCGAGGGCGGTGCGGTGATGAGGGGGAGGAAGTTGCTCATATCGATGGAGCAGTCGAGGCCGAGGATGGTCTTTGAGCGGTTGAGGAGGGTGGAGAAGAGGTATGAAGGGGAGCCGCGGATGCGGGAGAGGGTGCTGAGGAGGCCCCAGAGGAGTTCGCGGGGGTCAACGGGCGATTCGGCGAGATGGTGGGAGGCTTTTGAGCCGAGGGAGCGGGTAACATCTGCGACGGCCATGCCTATTTCGAAGAGTTTTTGTTCCTGGAAAGAAAGGCAAGCCAGTCAGTCGATTGGTCGGGTTAGGAGATCAGGAGGCGGAATTGAAAAGGCTCACCATGCCGATTCCATGGGCATCGACAGACCCTTGGGATGCAGCGCTGATGACGTCCATCACTGCTTTTCCTACCAGGAGGGGGAGATGGAAGGGAAGGACGGCGTCCTCCCGCGACCCGGGCTGCGAGACGTGCGCCATGCAGAGCTTCCAGATCATCGCCTGCAGCCACTGCTGTGTCACGAGGATGTCGACTCTTTGGATCTCTACTACCCCGTCTAGTGACATGGGTTTGGAGAGACTGGACTGGATGGAGGATATGGGAGGCATCTCGAAGAAGCCATCCCCGCCACCAGCGGAGATCCAGTCGTACAGGTTGGGAGTCAGTTTCTCGAAGATGTTGATTAGATTGATGAAGCCATATGTCAGAATGGGATCGTCCGAGCGGAGGACTTGTGGTTTATGGATGGAGTTGCGTAACATGACCGGTTTCGATTGCTGCAATGCGTAGCCCCTGGATCACTCAAGTGTCAAATTCGGCTTCCAAGCAGTAAATTACCGTCAGATGCAGATAGACTCACCTCTCTGTGATGAAGAGCAGCCAGAAGACACGCCTTTTTTCTTCTGCTTCTTCAGGACTGAATTCGGAGTAGGTCACCTCCCGATGCAAGCCTAGAGTGAAGATCATGGATGTAGCTTGGCACAGGTAGAACCACGCTTGCTCCTGTTTGTCGAGATTGCCATAGCAAGCAAACAGGAAGAAAGAAGTCAAAAGACTCTCGATGCTGATTTCGTCCACCGGATCACACTCCTTCCTGGCCCGTACCGCCTCCGCGAGCAACTCTTCCCCTGACATCATGTACTGTCCCTCAGTGTGGAAGGCAGAGGGGTCCATGGCACCATCAAACTTGAGCTGTATATGAGTCGCGGCACACAACGAAGCCAGGAAAGCATACCTCCGTGAAGAGAGTCTTTCCAGCTGGTGGCAGTCCGCCTGTATTTCCTCCTTCCGTACCACTGGCATGATGGGAAAGAGGTATTTGAAATAGACGTTCACGTGTGCCAGCAGAACAGGCGACGAGAGACGTCTTGAAAAAGGAGAGCATTGACCGGTTCCAGAGTCAGAAGTTGAGTTAGTCGAGTCAGGGGATGAGACCAGTTCCGGAGGCGCGAGTCGTGTAAATGAGTCCAGGAACTCCTGGGGGTTGAACTGGGCATCCACCACGGAAAACGGAGGAGACGTGGGAGAAGCTCCTATGGGGTAACTTCCGGCCTCTGGAAGGAGCTCCTTGTGCAGGGTATGCTGTCGAGGGCCATAATGCAAGGTATCTCGAGGCCGTGAAATGAGTGGATGGATAGGAGCCAGAGGATATAGAGTCCGGAACTTGGGGCCTTTACGGCGCAGAACATCGCTGTAGGAGCAGGAAAGGAGGAGCCGGGAGCACTTGTCGCAGGGGAGCTCTCTCGAGCACTTGATCTTCCGACGCCTACAATTGTCGCAGGCTTGCTTGCACGGTTTCTGTTCAGATTTCGCGGGGGTATCACTGGGAAAGTCCATTGCCAAACTCGGACACAAGCAAATTTCTCACGGAAAAGCGAAGGATATAGTATGTAAAGTCAGGAAGAAGATATTACGGACACGACCTTGCATGCCAGAAAATCTCAACGTCTTGAGGTCATTGTAGATCGCTTCTCATAAGACGATGAAGTCACATGTAGAATTCAGTCATAGATACAACCATGACCAGCACGATATGAAAGTCAACAAACAGATGTCGAGGTCGAAGGAGGAGATAAGTTCAAGGAGGGAGAGTAAATCATGAAAATGGACAGAAAAAAAAAAATCTGGGGAAGAAGCGGGGAGCTGCAAGGAGCAAAATGAAGCCTGTTTAGAGCACTTTTTGAAACCGATGATAGACTGGACTCGATACTACCTACTATTCACAGTTCTATGCAGCTGTACTGCAGGTACTAAGCACGGCCGAGATCAGGGCACAGAAGTTTGTAATGGGCGTATAGCTGTATTAAACATGTATCCGTTGACTATGGCCAATACACCAAATTTGTTTACTAGGGTATCTTTCTAGGCCAGATCAAGTCAAGACGGTACATGTATACTGTGATCCATGGTATTCTTCGTAACATCCAATATATTTTATTATTAAGCCTAGGGGCTGGGTGCCTCTATTAGGTTGGACCCCGCGTTATCCTCATCACCCACTAAGACTTTCACTAGAACCTTCATGGAACCGGATCGCAGCTTGTTCTGGGAGAATACGAAGGAAGGGAAAAGAGAGTTGTCTAAAAGGCTCTTGAAACTCACTAACTTCTACGCGAGATGTGGCATCGATTCAGCATGTGTAAGGAGGGGATAGTTGGAAGATAGCCTAGCTGGACAGTGGAACTTCCTATGCTTCATCCCCACAGATTTATTTTACATCACCCCCGGATCTCGCCGCCACCTACCACAAAGTTTCAATCATGGGCATTGTCATAGAGTAAGAATATGGAATATTTAGTAAACCGAATATGAGGGGTTGATTAAAAGGGCTGACGCCAGCATGGTCTGCGAACCAACCGATTAGACATGGTGTTATGGATGCGTTATTTTGTGCAATGACCCTTCAAGTAGCAGATAGGCATCAGCTATAAGAATCATATCATCATATGTGATGATGATGCATCCTGGTTTAGGTGCACATAGTGGATCTAAGAATGGATATTGGTAGGTATCCTAGTCGCCATAAGGTCGAGTTGATATGGACAAGTGAACCAGCATATAATAGCGCCTTGTTAGGCACTAATTAGACTAAGACCAAGGCCACAGCCCACAGAACGAATGAGAGTCCCTCCAACTGCCGTTTTTTGCTTTTGTCGCACTTTGCCGAGGGGAGGCGTGCTGACATCCACGTAAAGGTGGTTTCGGGAAGCCGAGGACAAGTATCAAATGACGAGCTGATGACCTGCCGGTAATAGGATCATAAGAGGTTCCTCCAGCTCTGAACTTCTTGGTTGCTCCCGTAATCAAGGTATGAGAACATCTGTGTGGTCAAAGTTCGCTACAGATGGGCCTAAACACGATTGACCCACAAGGGGAGTTATAAGAGTTATACCAAGGTGAATTCATTAATGTCCCGTTGATATTATACGGATGAGATCAGACAATGCCAGTCTCACAGCCCTCACCGAGAGATCCAACTAGGATATATTATCAATGATTCGCATGCAACGTTAACCAACATTATCCAGATATTTCCACCGCCTCGGGAATTTATCGGGCTCAGAACCAATCAAGGCCTTGGTATCAGATGATCAATAAGCGGATCCAGGTACTAAGGTACTCAGGAGAAGGCCATTGTCACCAATAAGGTTCCTTTTCCTGTCCTGCAACCTGATTCCAGAGCGTAAAAGCTTGAGGCAATTTGTGTCTGTTTTGGTTACTATTCTACGTCCACTACATCATTTGACAAGGTTTAGAGCGTGGCAAAGGCTGCCGAGTAAGAGTTAACTTCGAACAATCTTCCCTGGCTCCGGCCGCTGTGGGTGACGGTGTGCTCTTGTCGGTCCGACATGTAATTTTCGTGTTTGTAGTACCCCGTACCTAGCTTCGAACATCGGCTGTAATATACACGGTAACATCGCCGTATCCACGGCACGGCGCGAACCCCGGGCTTGGAGGAATGCTTTTCCGGCCCGCGGTCCCTTTCTCCCCCCTTCTTGTGCATAAGCTTTCCCCCAGTGCAATACTCCAGTGACCTTACGCCCCCGCACAGGCCTAAAGCGGAGAAGCAACAACAGTCAGAATAGGAAGCCCGGTTCTTAATAATCCTGCGAGATGAAAGCGTCTTTCTCGTCCCAGCTTCCAGTTCTGGGATGCTCTTTGCGGAGCTCTGCTCGGGCATTTGACGGAGTAATTCATCAGTGTCCCAGAGTGATGTTTTCCAGAGTCTCGACTGTCCGGCCAGCATACCACGCATAGCAGTAATGTAAGTGGGGTTCCGTCACAAAGACAGGAATTCGCTCTCCAACGTATCTGCTCCGTACCTGGAAATGATATAAAGGTGACGATGCCTCGCTGGAATGACGTTCAATTTTCTTTCTATCGGCAACAGCACGGTTTGGTCCTGTTTTCCTGAGACGTTCACCATGGCCAGCTTCCTGGGCCTCGTCGCCGGTGCTTGGCTCCTCCCCATGGCCTATGGCGCAAGCCATTCGCTTGCCCCTAGCACGTCCGCAACCTCAGCATACGCGCAATACACCTTACCATCTTCTGTTGACACTGGTGCTCAATTGATCGCCAACATCGACGATCCTCTTGCCGTCGACGCGCAGTCTGTCTGCCCGGGCTACAAAGCCTCAAATGTGCAGCAAACGTCCCGAGGTTTCACCGCCAGCCTGCAGCTCGCGGGAGACCCATGCAACGTGTACGGGACTGACGTCGATTCGTTGTCGCTAACGGTGGATTATCTGGCCAAGGATCGCCTGAATATCCAAATCGTTCCTACCGACGTGGATGCCTCCAACGCTTCTTGGTACCTCCTCTCGGAAGACTTGGTGCCCCGGGCTCAAGGCTCTGGCGTGTCCGCCTCTCAAAGTGACTTTGAAGTGAAGTGGTCCAATGAACCTTCTTTCAACCTCAAGGTGATTCGCAAGGCTACTGGAGACGTCCTCTTCGATACCGAGGGCTCCGTCTTGGTCTTTGAGAACCAATTTATCGAGTTCGTCTCTTCTTTGCCCGAGGGTTACAACCTGTACGGTTTGGGAGAGCGCATGGCCCAGCTGCGGCTTTTGAGGAACGCGACCCTAACCACCTATGCAGCGGATGTGGGAGACCCGATTGATAGGTATGTTGCTGACCATTTTTGAACCCCAATGAACAAAGTCCACAAGCTCACAGTCAGCTCTCCAGGAACATCTACGGACAGCACCCGTTCTATCTGGACACCAGATACTATACTAAAGGCGCGAATGGGTCCTACTCGCTTGTCAACACTGACGAGGTGGACATGTCGGAGGACTATGAATCATTCTCCCACGGTGTCTTTCTGAGAAACTCTCATGGTCAGGAAGTTCTCCTGCAACCCCGCAACATCACTTGGCGCACAATCGGTGGTAGCGTCGATTTGACTTTCTACTCCGGTCCTACGCAAGCGGATGTCACAAAGAGTTACCAGCTCTCCACTATTGGACTTCCTGCAATGCAGCAGTACAGCGCCCTTGGATACCACCAATGCCGCTGGGGCTACCGGAATTGGTCTCAGCTCGAAGAAGTGGTCAACAACTTTGAGCGATTTGAGATTCCCCTAGAATACATCTGGTCAGTCTGGTTTCTGAGTCTATACATGTTTCCCAGTTTCTTTTACTTACATCCCTTCCAGGAGCGACATCGATTACATGCTTGGCTACCGTGACTTTGAAAATGATCCCGAACGGTTCTCATACGATGAAGGCGAGGAATTTCTGAACAAACTGCACAAGTCGGGCCGACACTACGTTCCTATCGTTGACTCGGCAATCTATATTCCCAATCCCGACAACGCATCGGATGCGTAAGTCCTTGTTATCCTATTCTCTTTGTTAGATGGTCAAGTTCTCACGGAAGTTTGAATTCCAGGTACGAGCCTTATGCTCGAGGGGCAAAGGATGACGTTTTCATCAAGAATCCCGATGGAAGCCTCTACATTGGTGCAGTGTGGCCCGGCTTTACTGTCTTCCCCGATTGGCACAACCCTAAGGCATTTGACTACTGGGCCAACGAACTCGTCACCTGGTGGAAGAAGATTGCGTTTGATGGCATCTGGATTGATATGAGTGAAGTATCCTCTTTCTGCGTCGGCAGCTGTGGAACAGGAAAGCTACATCTGAACCCGGTTCACCCACCATTTCAGCTTCCCGGTGAACCTGGCAATATCGGCTACGAGTACCCCGAGGCCTTCAACGTGACGAACTCTACAGAAGCTGCCTCTGCCTCCGCTGCCTCCGCCAGTCAGGCTTCGGCTGCTGCTGCTACCCAGACCGGCACTACGTCAACTTCCACATCGTATCTGCGGACAACGCCCACGCCGGGCGTCCGTGATGTGAATTACCCTCCTTATGTGATTAATCATGTTCAGGATGGTCATGATCTTGCCGTTCACGCCATTTCTCCCAACTCTACCCACGTCGACGGTGTCCAGGAATACGATGTTCATAGTCTGTGGGGTCACCAGATCCTCAATGCCACGTACTACKGACTACGCCAGGTCTTCACTGAGAAGCGACCCTTCATCATTGGTCGGTCTACCTTTGCTGGCTCGGGCAAGTGGGCCGGTCACTGGGGCGGTGATAACAACTCCAAATGGGGCTCCATGTTCCTGTCCATCTCGCAGGGTCTGTCGTTCTCGCTGTTCGGTATTCCCATGTTCGGCGTGGATACCTGCGGTTTCAACGGTAACACTGATGAGGAGCTCTGCAGCCGGTGGATGCAGCTGTCGGCCTTCTTCCCCTTCTACCGCAACCACAATGTCCTTGCGGCTATCCCCCAGGAGCCCTATCGCTGGGCCTCTGTCACGCAAGCCGCCAAGGCCGCCATGAAGATCCGCTATTCCATCCTGCCCTACTTCTACACTCTCTTCCACCAGGCCCACACCACCGGCTCCACCGTCATGCGCGCTCTCGCTTGGGAGTTCCCTACGGACCCGTCCCTCGCCGCCGTCGACACCCAGTTTATGGTCGGTCCTTCCATCATGGTCGTCCCCGTGCTCGAGCCCCTCGTCGATACCGTCAAGGGCGTGTTCCCCGGCGTCGGCAAGGGCGAAGTCTGGTACGACTGGTACACCCAGACCGCTGTTGACGCCAAACCTGGCGTCAACACCACCATCCCCGCTCCGCTGGGCCACATCCCCGTCTACGTCCGTGGAGGCAGCATCCTGCCCATGCAGGAACCCGCCCTCACCACCAGAGACGCCCGCAACACCCCCTGGTCGTTACTTGCCGCTCTGGGCGGCAACCAGACTGCCTCAGGCTCGCTGTATCTCGACGACGGAAGCAGCGTCAACCCGTCCTCCACCCTCGACGTCGACTTCCAGGCTGCCGGCTCGAGCATCAAGGTCTCGGTCAAGGGTACCTGGGAGGAGAAGAACCGCCTGGATAAGGTGACTGTCCTCGGCGTGGCTGCGAAGCCTTCCGCTGTGACCTTCAACGGCCGCAACGTCCAGCCTAGCTCGGTGCAATACAATGCTACCTCAAAGGTGCTGTCTGTGCAGGGATTGCAAAGCATGACGCCCCATGGCGCTTGGGCTGGCGATTGGGTTCTGAAGTGGTAGTTTCTCTACAGATCATATGTTGTCTGGTGATGAATGATTTCATGATTGCATAGCTACTCAGATTAATATAGCGGAAGAACTAGCTCATCATTGTGGACATACTACCAAATACTATCGAAAACGTAACCCGAGAAAGTAGCTCTATGTGTAAGCCACACAGTAGCCTGAAAGCCCCATAAGCTTGTTGCTCACGATATATATAGTGAGGGATTGAAATCACCATCTCCAGACGGCATTTATCGTGGCATTGGCAGCGCCACACTCGTTCGGCACCACAAACGCTCGATTCTGGCCTTCTTCCCAGACGACTTTGCCATCTCCGACGCTTTTCCGAATGAATTTGAATTCAAACTCTTCCCCAGCATCCAACATTACGGTCCCATACCACAAGGGCGTGATGCTCGAGTATTCATTTGCATCCAACTTCAACGCCTGATGCCGAGAATCCCACTCGCCCAGCGAGGGAATGGAACCGACGAGGAATATGTCCTCACCAATGACGGTTGTTGCCAGGATATTGAACCGAACTGCTACGGTACGCCGGGGCAAGAGGCACTCTGGGCTGGGCCACTCGATCCGCTTAACAGGGCGGTAGGGTCCTCGTGCGGAGGAAGGAGAGCAGATTTGGGGAAGAGTGGTGGTCGTGTTTGAGGGGAAAGGTTTGATTTGCGATGCGGAAGAATTGAGAGCACGTCTTCGCGCCTGAATTGCAGAGAGAAGGGAGGTGTATGACCAAGTGAGGTCTTGCGCTGAGACGGGAGTGCCGTCGTAGCGCGAGAACTGTTCCGCGAGAGCGCCATTCGTGGGGGTGTATTTTTGCTGTTGGTTATGTTAATACTTGACACGGTTCTGGTAAAGGGTAGGGGGTGACTCTACCACGACGCGGAGAAATCCGTCTGCGTAATCTCTAACTGCTGCAGTTATAGAGGCAAATACGCTGGTGTGCTTCACGTAGGTTCCAACTGTAGCTGATGGGTACAGGTCTTGGAAGAACGCGAGGCTTACGTTTGTAACGGTGAGGGATCCCAAGCTCTCCCACTGGTAAAGTGCATCGTATAGCTGCTCAGCTGCTGCCAAAGTGCACAGATACCAAGGGTGTCCGCCTTGATAGACATCCTCAGGGTACCGACCCACGGCTACAGCTTGGCCCCAAGGGATGTCCGCATTGATCGGGTAGAGCGAGCGGAAAGAGTCTACAACTTCTTTGTGGCTTGCAAGCGCCCGATCAGAACACGGTTGGAACGTCTCTTCGTCGCAGCCCGCACTGGGGTCAAAAGTATGTATGATGCCTAGTATGGAATTGGCATCTTTCCCGGACCGATCACTATCCAGATTGGCCAATAGCGACGAGCCAGTCCAGTAAGTCTGCAGAAAACAAAGGACTTGTGGTGCCTGTGACAGGCAGTTCGAACACGTTTTACCAAGCCTCTGGGCAAGGGCTGCACCCTGGCTAAGGGCTTGATGCTGGACTGCCGTCGTGAAAAATGAGGAGCCGCGAACTTCCTCCCAAAGATCTTTCGGATCTGGTCAGTGGATTATCATCCCGCATCTGAGAAACGTACCAAAAGTAGAAGAGTTCCAAAACTCCGTCACATAGGAAAGGTCATTCTGAATGATTGGCCAGACGCTTGACTCAACCGTAGGGAAATGACCATTATCCTATTAAAATGCTCGAAGTTAGGAAGCTCATTCTTTACCGAAGACAACAAAAACATACAATCATCAAGTTTGCGTAAGATATCAATGTTGTTGCTCTCAGCGCTGGCCCATCCCTCTGTGGACGGCCCCAGGAGCCGCGGAATGGTGATCCATCCACCCTCAACTTGGGTTCCCCCAGGCCTCCGCTTGAAAGATTTCCAGAAGGGTTAGAGACGGTCTGCAAGTGCGCCTGGGAGTCTATATAATCCTCTATGATTCTTTGGAGTGCAGGATCGTTATCAGCGGCAAAAGAATCAACGAGGTATTTGATAGTGAGAGCGGCATCTCGAGTCCAGGTGTAGTAGTCTCAACCACAGGTCAGCCTTGACAGTTGCAGTAAATGAAGAAACCATCAATTGTAAGGAGGAAATGATCACTCACAGTCCGGATTGCTTTGACTAGGACTAGCGATGACGATGCCGGAGTCAGCGCCGGTCGCCTTGGCCCCATTCGGTCCGATATTGTTGAACACACCATCGAGGGCATATGAAGTTTCCTGCGCTAACCACGACTCCAAAAGATCCGTTGTCTGGGGCGTTATTATTGCTGGGATTACAATCTGGGCGGGGTCCGAGAGAGCGCTGACAGTGGTCAAGACGCCTATGGCGATCGTCAGGAACTGCCTCGTCGTCATCTCGCTCGGACGCGATGTTTCATCTTTCATTTCATCAGGGCGGACGAAGACTGCCTCGCATACACAGCCTTCACATGCTTTTATTGATGGACTGTCTTGAGTGGATCACAGAAATGATGATGGAGGGGAAAAAGGAAAATGAGACGAGAAGCTCAGCGGTCACACTGCAAGACTGAAAGAGAGCCGAAGACCAAGCACCTGACGCCCCTTCTTGACCACATCTTCCCCACGTCAGCCTATCGGTGCAAAATGAGATCGGTCCATTTTCCATATGTGGCGTCGAATCAGCTGCTATACTCCAACGACGATGTTGATCTTCCTCTATCGAAGCTGCAAGGGCGATGCAGTAGTCCACAAGCTGAATACCGACCGGCAGATCCTCGTGCTAAATGACCAGGGGCGGACATTCACAGGGGATTTATTTGAATCCTTAATGGCACTCTCGTCCGCTTCTGAGGTTATTCCGAAGGTATTCTTGATCGCTGACGATTCGAGATGGGTGGAAATCGTGGAATACGCATTTGGTGATCTACTGTCTGTCGGTATCCTACTTCATCTTTGTCTGAAGGTTATAAAAGCACCCTAATGAGTCCCCTACCTGGCTCTTCCCAGTCGTGACAAGAGAAGAGATTACGGGCTTGTTCCGCGTACACCACGGTCAGCATGCCTATACGCTGGTCATCCTTGATTCTCTCTTGCCTTGCTGGGACAGCTTTCGCGGCCACTTCAGCGCAATGGCGATCCCAATCCATCTACTTCTTACTCACTGATCGATTCGCACGGACTGACGGTTCCACGACGGCCTCGTGTGATACTAGTGCTCGAGTCAGCTACACTAGCCTCCCTTCCCCAAGCTATGGTGCACTGACACGTGAAACAGGAATATTGTGGTGGTACTTGGCAAGGCATCATTAAACAAGTCAGCAAGCGTTCTCTAACTAGTGTGGAGTTTGAGAGTATAGCAATGGCTAATTTAGGTCAATATAGCTCGACTATATACAAGGCATGGGCTTTACGGCAATCTGGATAACCCCAGTCACCGAGCAACTTCACCAGCATACATCGGAAGGCACTGCATACCACGGGTACTGGCAGCAAGACATGTGAGCAGCAAATCATCCCCAATACCGGTATCAATTCCTGCTAACTCGGAAAGTTATTCGGTCAATTCCAACTATGGAACGGCTGACGACCTGAGAGCCCTGGCGTCAGCTCTTCACGACAGAGGCATGTATCTCATGGTCGATGTTGTTGCTAATCACATGGTTCGTTATGTTCAGCCCGGCGATGTACTGCTTGCTGATTGAAACAGGGATATGCAGGTGCAGGCAATTCGGTTGACTATAGTGTCTTCAAACCTTTCAATTCTCAGGCCTACTTCCATCCGTTGTGCTTCATCAGCAACTACAATAATCAGACAAACGTGGAAGATTGCTGGTTGGGAGACAATGTTGTTCCTTTGCCAGATCTTAATACTACAAACTCGGATGTCCAAAAGATTTGGTACAATTGGGTGGGCTCTTTAGTGTCTAATTATTCCAGTAAGGACGTACTCTTGGTACCTGCACAAGACAAGGATTGACCGATATGCTACAGTCGACGGCCTACGAGTTGACACTGTGAAGCACGTCCAGAAAGATTTCTGGCCGGGATTCAATGACGCTGCGGGCGTCTACTGCATCGGGGAGGTATTTAACGGAGATCCATCGTACACTTGCCCCTACCAAGAGGTCCTGGACGGGGTGCTGAATTACCCTATGTGAGTGGCATACACATATAGACCTCTGCACACACCGCGCATCTAACTAGAGCAGATATTATCCGCTTCTGAAAGCCTTCCAGTCTACAAGTGGCAGTATGAGTGACCTCTACAATATGATCAACACGGTCAAGTCGAAGTGCGCAGATTCAACGCTGTTGGGCACGTTCGTGGAAAATCACGATACCCCCCGGCTAGCATCGTAAGTTTCTTCCTAGACTCTCCCTCGGTCCAGCGTCCTGATGAATCCCTGCTCGCAGGTATACCAACGACATGGCTCTCGCCAAAAATGCCGCAGCATTCACCATTCTCTCCGATGGAATCCCAATCATCTACGCCGGTCAGGAGCAACATTACAGCGGCGGCGCGGATCCCGCAAACCGCGAGGCAGTCTGGCTTTCCGGCTACTCAAAAACCAGCGAGCTATACAAGCTCATCGCGACAGCAAACGCCATCCGGAATCATGCCATTAGAAAGGACCCGGCCTACGTGACTTATAAGGTACACGGCACTCACTCCCGGAGCCACCATACGCGACCGCGCCCATGCTAACTCAGTCCACAGAATAACCCCATCTACCAAGATACCTCCACCATCGCCATGAGGAAAGGCACCGACGGAGCGCAGGTCGTCACCGTCCTCTCGAACCTCGGTGCTTCCGGAAACTCCTACACGCTCTCACTGAGTGGAACAGGCTATGCGGCTGGAACACAGCTGACTGAGGTCTTTTCCTGCGCCACGGTGACCGTAGACTCAGATGGGAAGGTCCCCGTTGCCATGGCTAGTGGCTTGCCCCGGGTGTTTTACCCGACAGCTGGGCTGAACGGAAGTAAATTTTGTACTTGAGCAGCAGGGCATCGAATAAGGGCGATACGGTTTCTCTGAGGGCTCCATTGGCATTTGAATTCTTTGTATGTGTTCTGTTTTGGAATTGATATATATGTATACATATATCACGAATTGCATGGCTGCGTTATATTATGCCGATCAATATACTACTGCTACAATTAAATATATATCGCGGAAAGATAAAATATACCTCGAGAGAGAGGAATGCCAAGTGTTGTTTGAGGGTTCATTGTTGGAAGATCGAGATCTAGGGGCTCGTGCCATAATTGGCTTTAAGAAGATTTAGACTGGTACTTGTAACTTAAAGTCTCCTCCCTGAGTCGCTACGCCTCCAAAAGAAGGATCGATAGACTTAAGCAATAAAGTATCAGAATTCCTATGATTACACCTGATGAAACCTAGCACCAGAAAGAGGGGAGCGAGTTCAAAATTATAACAGCCAAAGTTGAATAAATAACTTTGTTTGAAAATAGGTTGACGCCGGGGGGTGAAGCCTGCTTCGCCCTGGGGAAAGAAGAAACTAAATACATTACTGCCGCGCTGTACGGACGGCTGTTTCGTGCACGAAGCACTTTCATATTGGTCTTAGTGCATACAGAATTCCATGTACGATTGGCATATCAAAGTATCGCCGTACGAAACGCTTGCAGCTCACCGGCTACACTGGTGAGTATATCGGGCAAGGAGTGTGGAGGAACTTCGGGTATGAGATGCTCCAAGCCACCATACTCCCCCATCATGGTATCCATCAGTGGATTCATGAATGGTATCTGCTGCCCCATGCTCAGTTTCCGAGTATCCCCGAACGCACCTTTGACTGCACTATTGGGGTTAGAACCTGCTGCGCACCGCCGCTTGAGCTCTGTGATTGTATATGAGAAGCGGTAGGAAATGTGATCTTCGTTCGGTGACAAATGAAGAAGGAAGGTTTGGATTTGGTCGATAAGCGGATCCATCGGGCTAAAGTCGCAGAGATTCAGGGCGGCGTAGCCCACAATGTAGTATATCTGATCTGGGAAGGCGAGTGCGTTTGGAAACCGGACCAATAGGAATCTTGAGAGGATGAGGCGCGAATTACGAAGGATTTCTGAGATGAGGTGTTCGGACTCCCAATGGAACCTCATTGCTGTGCGATAAAGTAGTAGTTGGCAATACCAAAGGCTAAGCTCTAGTGTCGAATGTTGCTCGCCAGCTGCTCAATCAGTTAGTCCACCTCGTACGACGTACGATCAACGGTTATTTACTTACTCAAGAGATGTGCCCACTCCATCTTCCAGCGTTCGATTTCCTCGTATTCGAAGTCTCCCAGCCGCATACGGTGGCTAAAATTCTGCAGCCTTAGCGCGATCAGATATAACTGGATCTCCGCTACAATTTTGCCATCTTCAAGTGTAGCAGCTGGGTGCTCAAGAAGTCGTGGACAATGCTCAAGGTACCTCTGCTGTATGTGAAAGGGACGAGCGTTTCCAATGGCAGACCTAGGAAGTTCTCTTAGCAAATGTCGAGTAAACCTTTGAATACGAGGAACACATACTGTAACTGAGTCAGACATAGAGCATTCCATACGCGCAGTTTCGCGACCATGTCATTGTCCACAATAAGCTCGGCAGGAGCATGGTTGAGAAAGTCAAAGGAAATGATAGCGTGGTTGATCGAGATCCCGCTCAGCAACCAACTATCCATGGGAGTCTCCTTTTGTACTGCTGTTGGCCATAACGCAAGAAGAGTAAGAGCCTGAAGAGTTTCGTGCTTGAGAGGTGGATTGTTCCAGAGGATGTTGACTGCTGCATGCCGTATCTGAATATACATAGCATGGATTACGGATGATGGTATACCGGGGACGTAGCGAGATGCTAGCAGACAAGCTGTACTATAGAGCAGCGGATCTGTAGCTCTCAACTCATTATGAATATCGGACGGATTGTCGATCGAGATCCAGATACCAAAATGATCAACAAACCTTTGGGACGAATGAATTAGCGGGGAGTTTCTCAAGACAGATCAAAGTCAGACGAGGGGAAGGGAGTGGCATACAATTGAATTAGTTTCTGAGATAATTTAGGGTCGATGATTCCCTTGGAGAAAGGATCACCGAGTGACCTCGAATCCGCGGATAGGACATTTGCCTCTCCCATGAAGTCGGACTGCAGGTCCTGAATGAGACGGATAGGTCTAGGAGCGAAGGAAGACGATTGACTTCCTTCGATCGAAGCGGTCTCCTCGGTGATACCACTCCTTGTCAACATGGATACCGAGCTGCCAGATATACTGGGCGACCGGTCCATCATCTGTCGCATCATGCTGGTCATTTCTGTCATACTTCGTTCCAGCGAGTTGAGGCGCTCTTCAATGGACGGAATAGCTGCCGTTGCATCCGACCACATTGAAGCATTATCTTGAAAGCGCTCAGCTGTCTCAGGCAGCTTGCACTCTATCCTGCGAGGAAAACATATTCAGCAAAATTGCGATCCTCGCCGGTCAATTGAAGCAAGGGAGATTTTTGAGGATTTGAACAGCTCGTATCCTTCAATGTAGAGTTTCTATCGTACGAACCTCAAGGAGAGACAGCGGCGGCAAGCATGACCGCGTGGATCTAAATCGCACCGGGTCTTCAGCTTGCGGCAAGTATTACAGGCCGTCATTGATCGTCGTATGCGACCTTTTGGACGAATTGTGTCGCCGCTGGCACTGGATCCTGGTCGGCCGCTGCCGTCAGCGACATCAACATTCGTGTTCTCCCACGTGGGGATCTCAAATTTGACATCTTCAACAGAAGTGGTGCGCGTCATGGCATCAGAGAATGGGTACTGATGGATCGGCAACCAAACAATGACAATGACTATCTAATAGGTGGAGAGGGAACAGACAGGCGTGGGAATCCAGAAAACGAAGATCCAGCGCAAATCATAAGCAGATTGGATATGTGGAGCGAGACAATTGCCTTTTAACAGGCCATGATGGGCTAGGGGCATGAATGGTGTTAGCTTGCTAGCCGTTGACGAAATAGACTCCGCTGGAAGTTGGTATTCCGCGCCGCCACGGCCAGCCAACCTATCTTGAACCTGGGGTAAAAGCTAATCAGGGGCGCGATGCAACCAAGAGGCGCCTCTAGCGGGCTTCTAGAAAAGTAGAAACAGGCAGAAGAAGGTGGTAGCGATACTTGCAGGCTGCAGTCAAAGAGGGGTTGACTGACATGCGCCATGTTAATCCTTTTGCATCCGACGAGAACCGGATTCTCTGAAATTCCCGCTTCCACAGCAATGAGGGGTTAGGTTTAGCGATGGAAAGAAAAGGAGAAAAGGAACCCAAGCACGCAATTAGTTGGAAGACATTGTCCGGGACACTTTGATTTGTTGATACACAACGTTGCTTATCTTGATCATCCAAGATGGCAATCTTGTGGAGTCTGGATGCTGCATTTGGCCGTTGAGTCTTAATTTTCCCACAGTGGAGCAGCGATTCCGATGGGCCTCTTTCCGGTCCCATCTAATCATCCTTAATCAAATTTCCCTTCACTTGTCTCTTCTGTTTCGCTATCACTCTTGTGGCTTTGAAAAGAGACCAAGCATTTAAAATTTAGTGTGGCCAACCGGATACGGCAGATCGTGCAAATCAGTCTTGGGCGCCTGCGAATCTGCGATTGCAAAGCATGACTAGTGACTGGTGAGGCAGGCGCGATCGTCGCCGAAATTGTATCTATATCGAACCAACCAGTGCGAAGATAGCCATTATCTATCCCATGCAGCCGACACTGTGATTTCGATGGTGGAATAAAACGGCTAGTTACGGTAATTATTTTGCCGGTTACTGCCTGGTCGGAGATTAATCTCGATCCGTCCCAATAGGAGTGTTGCATATGGTACAAGTTGATGCACCTTTCGTGTTCGGGCAGTAAGCCATGGGAAGCTTCTGAACGGACTGGTCCTGTGAGGAGAAGTCACTGTTTATTGCAGTTATGGAGTCATGGCTTCACTTAGAACCCTGATTCGCTTCTGCACTTGTCCTGCTGCAGCCCACGGTCAGGTACTTGATGAACAGCCTTCACTTTCCAGGATTCAGTGATCAGTAGTGCAGGACAGGGGTTCGACTGTTCAGTGCAAAGCCACGTCGTAAAGGCGCATTGGTCAATCCCGTGCCATTGGCCGACAGGCACCGGACATTAACAGCTGACTTGTGGACCCTATGTGAATCGGAATAGGCTGCCATGATGTTCCCAACATCCCCGCATGAAAAGTCTCAGTCTTATGAGCCCGTTCCCAGACAGAATAATATTGGTAACTGAAAGTCAAGACTCTGGACAACTTTAGCCAGTAGACCGTAACTCCTGTCTAATTAGGAAAATGGACTGTCCGAACTTACTTTCACTTTGTGGAAGCACAACAGGCCATTTGACCAGCTGGAAAGGTACAGGCAATGCCAAGAGGCTTTAATTAGTGTCGAGATTCTGTTAAGCAATCTCTAGCGCAGGATTCTACCTCGGCCACCGGCGCATAGCTTATTTTGGAAGGTGACAAGCCGCAAGGAACCGTAGATGTCTGAGCGTAAGGGAAAAAGGCGCATTTTGGGCTAGTTCCTGCCACTAGCATGTGCCAATCTCCTCACCGGTCTCTGTGAGGTATTTCGTTGGGTAAGACACTTGGAGCAGGAACCAGCGGTCATGAAGAACAGGGATCATGCTTAGTGTGCCTTCAACTGAGAGGACAGGCGACAAGCCCCCTGCTCGTGCCAGCCAATGGTTACTCATTTTTGCGATAGACGCCAAGCCAGCCCTCGTTCTTCGCTCCCATCGTGCTGTCCAAGTTAACCAGTGGGACGCTGGCAACAATTGGCATGGGCCTTGGCAGCTCATGTACGCCCCGCAGCTTTGATAAAATGGTTGCATTATTAAATAGACATGTCTCACATGCTATCGCGCAATAATGCCGTCCAATTGACCTTTGCAAAGGAAATATCAGCTATCACACCACTGAGACCAAGACAGATTATCGCAAATCTGA